AAATTTTGCTGTTAATTTTTTTAAAAAGGCAGAAAAGATATAATTGAACACGATAAGAGGAGATGTTGGATACTAATATCAATGATATATCAACTCCCCCCCCCCCCTTCCCCCCAAAAAAAGAAGAAAAAACCAAAACACATGTAGAAAGATATGGCTAATGAATAGAAAGTCCTTTAACGATGAAATTTATATATAAATCAAAAGGCTTGAATGTTAAAACTGGATAACATTACACTTATATGCATGGAAACATATTTGTTGATGTGGATGGCCATTAATGCTTATATCCAACACATGAATAAAAGGAGATGTTGGTTATATGCCAAAGAGACAGTGGCCCCAAAACCAAATCAAGTAAATAGGAATTAAATGGATTTTGACTAACCATGCTAACAGGACACAATTTATATAAAAATGACAGAGTTCACATGAAAATATCTATGCATTTTGGTTTTTATACATAAATTCTAGCATGTTTATATAGTACACACATTCGTATTTAGTGATTTTATATTCTATGCTAAATCTAAAAAGAATACAGTTAGGAAGCTCACTTTGCTTCTTAAATAGTTTTTGTATTTCTTGTTAACTGTAAACCACCTAGCAATAAGCATGATACATTATTTATAGATATTTATTCATTGCAATAATTCATTTTGAGAAAAGATGCAACCTTCACAACCTTTTGTTCAATAAGACGCATTAAATACATAATGAAACAATGACCACATCTTGTTAAATAACCTTTTTAAAAGGACAACTGTTATGACTTTGTCCATTGTTTCCGGAAAATTAAATTAATAATATTGTTTTATTTTGTTAATTAATATTATTTTGAACCATTATAGAAATACTCATTTTCGATGCTTTATATTATTAAATATATTCATTTAATTGATCTGTTTTGTTGTCCATGACTCAGAAATTATTTGAAAACAAATATACTTATAATGCATTCTTGTTAAATAAATCACCTATAGATAAGAATTTAAACAGCAAAATATATGAATATTTACTTTGTAGTCAAATTCAACATTACCGTGATTACTTTAAGTGTTCTTCAAAATGCAAGACATTATTATACATCATCCAAAAGGTAATTAAGTAAACCAGGGAAATACTTAGAAACCGGTGTTAGCAACACAATATAAGCATATGTACATGTGGTTGATTTTTGGTTAAAAAAAATCCAGTGACAAATATTTCATGCCAATATAGGACAAGACAGTGAACAATACATTACCATACAATATGTATAGGTCCTATGAAAGGCCATCCCGCACAACCAAACCAATGCCCTACTTGAAAAGGGTTTAACAATTAGACGACAAGATCAAGAGTGACCTTTTTCTATTCCCTTGTCACCCTTGGGGTGATGGTTGTGAAGTGGATAGGGGATTGAAAAGTTTAGTCAGATTTATGAAGACACATGATTAACATGAGAATTTCACTAGCAATAGGTGACTTTAAACAATCAATTTTGTTCTAAACTGATCTGATTTTTTGTTCAATATGAACATTTGCACAAGTCACAGGTCCTTTAATAAATGAAATGTCATGTTTTGTCACACATCAACATCCTCCCAAGGATAACAGGTCAGAATGTGCCATGTCAGCTAGATCCACACATACAGTCTACACAGATGGGCACAGGCTTTTCAGCCCAGGCATGTAAAATGACTATCAGGCCTGTAAAATTTTCTATCATTCTGCCAATATTGATGATTTTCCTATTTTCATTTTCATCTAATAAGAGATTTGTCAAGGGCAAGATGAAAAAAGGAATGTGCATAAGATCACTAAGAGAGTGTTTGACTTGGGGTTTTCAGCATAGAAAAAAAATGGATTAAAAAGGGGGGGGGGAAATGGGGATTTACCTGAATTTCAATGATGCATAAACTTTTTACAATCTTAAATCCTAACTGCCTTGGAACATGCTACTATGCAGAATTGCGGCGAAAGATCATATAGGATAACATCATGTCGATTCTTACCTGTACTGTAGAAAGAATTTGGACATTTTTTCCTTCAAAATATTGGATGAATGATGATGATAATGATGATAGATTTGCTTTAAAATATTGTTCATTTCTACTCACCGAATGCAATTTCAAGCTCAGCTTATATTGTGGTCTAACTAAACAACTGTAGCTTCCTTTTGTAAAATGTTGTTTGACGACCACGGTCGGTCTGCCGACAGGAATGCAACAAAACAATAAAGAGGATGAACCGTTAACGGTGAAAATTTGTTCCGTTTTTGATCAAATTTGACAGATTTGATTAATTATCATCGACAAATATCCCTCATGGATAGCACTTCAAATAAAAGCAGTTATTGTCCTGTATAGAATAGGTAGTCATATTCTTTAAATTTATTTCAGGTACACCGTCGTTAGTTCGTAATCCTACACTTCTGCATAATTTATCAAAACAATTTCAAATATGAATTAAAATGAATTCATTAGCATTATTAGCATCTTCTGCAATAATTCTTAACCTCTTTTTTAAACGGAGACTTTTCATATGATGAAGCAAGTTATGAACAATTCTGAATAAACGGAATATTAGATAAAGATACCTAAAGGATAGTCAAACGCACAAGTCGAAAATGAACGGACAATGACGCGGCAATAAACGGGAAACGACAAAATGATCAACAACGATCGCAAAAAAGAAATAAATAATAATAAAAATAAAACCCACAATAGATGATAATAATATAATGTATTTGACAGCACCAACGTCTGAAAAGTTGACACAAACAAATTTTAACTGTCCCAACTATCAAAAGGTTGGGATACACACTATACAACTGCCACAACAACAAGACTGTAACAAATAGTATTTGACTGTGACAACGCCGTAAACAACTGCACAGTCCTCAAATGACTGTGGATAATAATTTTTGTTTTTCACAACCCCTAAAAGTGTTGGGATAGGCATGAATAAGCTGTTACAACAACATAAGGCAACTGTCACAACCCTTACATTTCTTATCATTTGATTTGAAAGTCATTTTCAGTCTTCCACAGACCAAAACAGTCGTACAACGACTGTTACTAATATGGACAGTTGTTTTTTCGTCCACTAGTCCGAAGTTTTATGTAAGGAGCACAACCTGCTCAGGAAGTCCGTTTAGATTGAACATACACGAGCGCAACGTATTAACTGAGATATAAAAAATTCTTGTTGACGTGAGCAGAGGCTATGTTAATGCTGATAATTTTGAAATTGACAATTGGAAAATTGAAATATTTACATTTGTCATATTCTAGTCGTTCAACGGTGTCAAAATCGAGGAAATATTAAAATATCAAGCTGACCTGTACCGAGTCATGAATATGACACTTGTTTTCCGTTCGTTAGATGTGTTTGAGCTTTTGATTTTGCCATTTTATAAAGGACATTCCGTTTTGAATTTCTCTTTGAGTTCGGTATTTTTGTTATTTTACTTTTTTTTATTTCTATAAACTGTCGCTTATATTAAATACATGAAATTTGTAGATACAAAATATATAGGTCCCAATTCAATCTGGCTATAGGGTTTCAAAGGAAAAATGATAGCTTTGTGTTTGAATTTTACTTATATAATTGTATTATATTCAAGTGAGAGAGCAGTTTTATTTAGTGATGGATATAAACAAATTTGACCATTGATCGATGTATATGAGATAACTGGTAAATTATACACATGGTAGTATAAATGGGGTCTATAGAATAGAGAAAAGGTAAAATTACAAAAATACTAAACTCCGAGGAAAATTCTAAAAGGAAAGTCCCTAATCAAATGGCAAAATCAAAAACTCAAACAGATCAAACGAATGGATAACAACTGTCATATTCCTGACTCGGTACAGTAAGGAATAAGTGTGTGCTAAATTATAAATAATAGATAGAAAAAAATGAAGACCTTCATATCATGACCCTAATATATAGTATGGAATCATTCGAACTTGGATAGGAACAAAAATAATACAAAACAGGTATACATCAAACACGTAAACACACCTACCTACAAAAGCAAAGACATTTAATTTTAAACGATTATCATTTAAGTAATACAACAAAATTAACCCACACTGAATTCAGTATGATCATCAGATGCGTATTTAAAATCACATAACAAAGGACAAAATAAAATTAAGAACCACGAAAAGGAATGCATACTTTTATTTTTGGAGAATGACCAAACAAATTAAACAAATATTGTATATCTATAAGATAACTTTTATTTTATTGTTTATCTACATTATTTTAGCTTGTGTACTATATAACATAAAGGTAATTTGTGATATCATTAACATGTCCGAATTGGCACATTTAACAGAAAATTGTCAATTAACACTAAGTGTGGGACAAAAAAGATACAACTAAATTAATGCGACAGTAGAAAACCGGTGTTAAAATCCCGTAAATTGATTAAGAACAGACAAATCAAGATATCAAACAAAGTAACTTGGAGAATCGTAGAACTCCGAAAGAAGGAGACTAGATTTGTGACAGGATAAGCGTCTTCTCCAATGCATGCAAATTCACAATCAGTCAAAATGTCATAATCGGTAAATGTACAGATCAGGCGACTATAATAGAATCTTAAGATCTAAGACCACGCAAAAATGTTGCTAGTGTGTTAAGACACTGACAAATCGTATCGTCAACCAATTTGTAAGGTTGACGGTAGAACTAATGTTGTGTCGAATTCTGTCGTTCTTCCTTTTAACTCATTCAATATATAACTTGACTTGATATCTTCGTCCATGAGATTTTAAGATTAAAAAAAGGTTTGTCCATAGTTTACTTCAAAATTTAATTCTTATCCTGGTATCTATGATGAGTTTATTCTTATCTTGACATCACACTTGTGACTAACGAGGGGACAAACGGTCGGACATTTGCATCACTATATAATCCCTTTACGTGCGAAGGTATGAAAACAGAACAGATATATTAAAATAGTCTTATAATAATATATAATTTTTATTTTGTAACAATCCTACCTAGTTTTGGAGTCTTTGTACTTGTATGTGATCCTGTAGAGGGTTCCTTCATAGGGCAGCAAGCCAAAAATAAGGAACAGTGTTCTAAGATTTGGTCATAGGTACTTGAGCAGCAAGTACTATCACTTGTGCACAACAAGGCACACTGGATTCGGGATTTTGCTTCCACTGTATGAACTGATGCTCCATTTTGAACTATTCTTATGTTTGTGTTGGTGTTAAACTTCTGTGTTTTAATACCAAAACTTTCAACATATTGTGCAAAAAGTGCAAACACAACTGCTGTTCTTATATAAAACATAGCATTCATTGATAATCCGCTACCATTTGAGAATATGGTTTTGTAGTTTTACTGTATAGCGTCTTCGCACAATAACCAAACAAATATGATGAGTCTATGACGATGTAACAAAGTGATTGCTTTATTGTATGATATATTGGTCTATTGATTTCTGTCATAAATAATTGAAATTATAATTTCAATAACATCACATAAACATTTTGGAAATGTATTTATTTTTCAATGGAGCTTGAAACTTGATATAAGAAAGTCGTATGATTTCAATTGGTCGAGCTTTTAACTCTTATTTCATGAAATTAATGTATGACAGATCATCAATACATTTAGAAAATACTTGGAGTAAATTACATTTTTCAGTCCCATGAAAAATATACGATAACCAATGAAAAACCTTTATTAAGTGTAGACACCTTTTGCGTTTACCGTAAAAACGTACATTTGGTATTACAAATCTACGAAAATTAAGAAGAAGGGTACAAAGCGTTATCTATTTTTCCTGATCTTTCAATCTTAATTAAATTTGGTAGTTTCGATTTCTGTCGTTGTTCCTTATTTTTTTTTCATTTTTTAAAGTACTGGTTAAATACAATAGCTGCTGGACTATGAGTTCCCGAGGGTATCATCAGCTCAGTAGTAAGTCACTGCTTTGATACTGACATGATTTATGACATACATTTCTTAAATTATTAAGACACTCAGGTCCCTAAAATAAATTAACTTTCGGTCGATTATTTTAAGGTATCATTTAAACATATTTATACACCCTCGGCTTTCAAATATTTTGCTTTGGAAAAATCGCTTTGGACGCAAAACATGTATGAATTGGTGTTTGTATATTTTTTGTTTAAGTGTGCAGAGGAAAGAAAATTCAGAAAGTTGTTCCGGACTTACAAAGTTGAACCAGTGTAGCTTTCATTGAAGTGAGAGGTATAGCTTTAAAACAAAGTTTAATCCACCTTTTGTTCTACATGAGAAAATGCCTGTACCATTAAGAAATATTTCCATTCGTTTGATGTGTTGAAGTTTTCAATTTTGCCATTTTCAGTTATGAATTTTCTATGAAGTTCGGTATTTTTCTATATCATATTTTTTACTTGCTCTGAGTAGGTTTTTTTACTGTCTTTGGACTGTTATCTATTAGATCAATATTAAGTGCGTATATACTAAGACATATTCCTAAACTTCATCGTTGAAAAAAAAGAAACTAATGTTTATGGCATTTTAATAGAGAGTACTTTTAGATTGGAACTTTGTAGATATATTCGTTGTGTCCTTTATATCGATCTGATGAGTCATTTCTGTTAACTGATTTTACCATTTGTTTTTAATTTGTTGTTGTTAAATCCCCTTCCATTTACAGGAAAGGTTGATCGCTCGTGAACATGTTGAAACCCGCCGAATCGTATGCTATCCAAGGTCAGGAGCCTGTTATATGGTGGTTGTTGTTAGTCGTTGTTTATCATATGTGTTTTGTGGTTATAACATGGTACAGTCCTGTACATCAACTAAGCCAAAGAGTTTTTTCATTTAAATTATTCTATTTTTGACATGTCGGGACATTTTATTGATTAATATACGGTATGGTATTTGCTCATTGACGACTACTAGTTGCCTTCATCTACCGATTATCTGTTGTGCAAACACCCTCGAACTGAAATGACACAACGTAACGAGATTCTAATTCATTGTGAACATTATGTACTATATCTTGTATGAAGGTATTATTTTGTTTGCCTCGAACAAAATATTTCATTTGTTAGAAAGCGTATGAAGCCGCTGCCAATAATTCAGGACTCGTTATGGATCGTTTTGAATAATGTCGTAAAAGGCATGCTTTAATTAGTGTACCAGTACACTCGTCCTAATCCCTGGAGCATTATCGACTACTTTTAGTGCAGTGTATTGAAATGAGTGTAACGTATACTAAAATATTAATGATTTCTAGATTAGTTTTATTGACAATCAAATATCTGATTATCTTTAAATCGGCACAATAACACTTATTGCGTAACAATTCAGTAAACACGGTAAATATTTCATAGGTACTTTTGATGTGCAATATTTTAAGCTATTGACTAGTATGATACATCAAAACTTCAATTAAGAAGGCAATTTCATTTTACTATGGAACAGTGATGCATTGCATAGTTATGACTTACGCTTATGAAACAGACATTCAAATTAAAAAAAAAGATTATACTATGTTAGAATATTGCAATTAGTATTGTCAAACTTAATTGAACACTGCGTTGTAAGTAGTCAGTATTTCTGTGTTGACACGAATTATCATTGATATTGTAATATTAGTAAATCAACTGTTTACAAAACTGAGAATTGTTCGAAATACTTAGGACTTTCGACACCAGAAATAGACTATATTAGCTGTATTTGAAAAACCTTTCGGTATGTTTTGTTCTCAATGCTCCACCTCTTCGAACTGTATTTGTTTGGCCTTTTAACATTTTTTTATTTGGGCGTCCCTGTCTTTTGTAGAAAGACGAACTACAAGTCTGATATCTTCTATAAGTTGTTTTTAAATTTTTTATTGGAATGAGTGTATGTTTCAAAGGAATAACAGAAGAGATTATAGCTTTTAAAGATATCAAACCTCGTTTTGTACAAGCTTAACAATATGACATATTGTTTTAACACTTGTCTGGTATTTATGATGTTGAAGACCATATATTGACGTAAATAACTTTTTTAGTCGGATTCCTGTCTGATCTGTATAAAACGTTAAATGTCGGTGATTTTGTTTGGTACTATATATCTTTATTTTATTACCTTGATGTATACTTCACAAATAATACAAGATGGTCCCGAGCGATAGATAATAGGTCCTGAAGTTGTGAACGTTTTATTAATTCACAGTTTTCCTTTTATTTGTTTTTGTGCTATTACGCTCTGTTTTCATATGACTCTTTAGCGTGACTCGGATTTTTTTGCTGACGTTTTTGTCAAATTTCATGTACACTTCTCCAATTTGAATTTACAAAGAGTTCCGTAATTTTGTTATACTTTTATACATGTACCAATGAGTTGTCTTTACCTACTTTAGCCCTGTACTTCTGAAGTCACACCTATTCAAATCCGTTATAAACATAGATAGGGTAAAAAGAGAATTAACATCCGTTTAAAATTCATGACGCTTTCCTTTATGATGTTCTCTCCTCTGTTTCAAAAAAACAAGCTTTTCAAAAGAGTGTTATAAATTGATGAAAGAGAGACTCCAGATACCCGAGGGACATAAAAACTCATAAATCGAAAATAAACTGACAACGCCATATAGGTTGTAGAATTATTACAGCGATTCAAGTATTATACACCTACAACAAAGCAAGGGTAAATCTAACATAGTATACAGCAGTTCCATATATATCGCATCTGGTGCAGTAAAATAGGTACCCGTAATGTTAATATTATAACTGGTCGATACTTCTGCTGGTGGACTGTTTCTCCCGAGGGTATCAACAACCCGGTAGCCAGTACTTCGGTAGTGGAATGAAAAATAAACGTATAATGTTTTTTTTTTAATTTTTTGTTTCAAAAGGTTTGACATCATTTTAAATTAAGGACAATATCTCCTTCATGCTAAGCTCTGATTCCTTCCATGGCTTTGGATATACCATTTGTCTTTTTTTGGTTTATAAGCTCTTCATTTTTCTTTAATAAGTTTTGGATTTTCAAAATTTTGATCTCGATCATCACTGAATAATTTTGTTGTCGAAATTCGCATCTGGTGCAGTAAAATTGGTACTGTTAATGTTGTTACTATTGATGATGCCACTAAAGCTTTCTCTTAAATGACTCGTATATCTGCATTGTAGATTCATACAGAAATAGTGTCTAGCCTTAAATATTGTCGGCGTTACATTGCTGAGTTGTGAAAGTCAGTGAATTCAGTTTAATGTTCGTTCCTTCCAACTGCACATGTTATTACAGGATACGACACTACATCATCTTTGTTTAATTTAGGCAACAACCCTATCAATTCAATGAGTTATATCAGATCAATTCAATGACTTATTCCCGTTCAATTCAATGACTTATTCCCGTTCAATTCAATGACTTATCCTATATATCACCATAATATATAAATGATTCCTTCGACGTCAGGTTGATAGCAATGTGGTATGATGCTAAGAAAAAGTCTAAACATTGCCATAAAAATTTGAACAGGCTATGTGTGAAATTTGCCCCCTGTGAATGCTCTAACTAAGCCCAACTTCCACCTTAAGAAACATCATTTAAACTAGGCGTGTTAAAATCTCTATTGAAAAATCTGATGAATGCGCATAAAGCTAAATCGGTTATTGGGTCGCTTCTATAATCTTGGTTAGGAAGCAGGAAATTTTGCTCTTGAACCTTTCTTGTTTGAAGGTCAAATGTCATCAGACTTCCTTCAAGGTTTGGTGTGCATGTGCAAAGGTTAATCAGTGTGCAGTAAGATTTGTGCGTTTTGAAGATAATTTGTCTTGAACTGAACTTTGTCAATGTAAAACACCTGTGTCATTATATCAATACACATTTGATAGATGTTGATGATGATGATGCGGCTTGATTATCTGAGCTATTTACATCTTAAACATTCGAATTAATTTTAAAAACTTACTTTGCATTTAGTTATTGTCTATTTGTTTCTGTTAACACATTTATGTAAGTTATCGCACAAAAATTATTTTCGTTCTATACGATATGGTACTTGGCAAATTACGAACGTCAAATAACGCCAAGAAACGTTGACAAGATACTAATATATTCTGAAAAATTTGAAAAGAACACATGTTTATGTAAAAACAGAAATGTCATAGATACATTTAGTCTGA